ATTGTGGTGAATGACAGCAACAAAATCAAGGAGATGCGAGCTCTGCTGGCCATTACCCCGCTTCCTGCATTCCTACTTGTTAATTGTGTAATTCCTAACGAGTCGTGAGGCGTCTGCTAGACTTCGGGATGCGTGCTCACTCTGACGCTTCCTTCCCTCCCCTGCCCAGCCTCCTCCCTTGCCAGAGACCTTGTTCCTTTAAAAATGCCATCCTTAAAAATCAGAAATACTCAGCACAGAGAAAGGAAAAGGGAACTTGACATTAGTTGAGCTTGAAAGGCTTGGTGCTGTGAAAAGTGACTGACGTGTGAAAAGAGGCTACAATTAGTTCTTTCCCCGAGCACTCTCCCATTCAGTCCAGGGTCACTCCTTCAGCGAGCTGCGGCTTTGAGGGTAATGTGTTGTGACAGTTTGAGATGATGAAGAATAATTCTTGTATTCAGAGTTGCTGCCGCTTCCCCGCTGCCCTGACACATCAGGCTGCTGTCATTGTATCATTTATCCTGGCTGTGGCTCCGTCGGGCTGTGCCGGGGCTTGTGCAGCGCTTGGTAGGTAGAGGAACGGGTCAGCTCCGCCAGCAAATGAGTTTTGAGGATATTTTGAAACTGTACTTAACAGCCCGGTGTAGGGAAGGGCAAACACAGAGAAAGGAAAAACCATTAGAAGAAATAATGCACTGGAGAGGAGATTTTTGAGTAGACATAAAGGAGATACCATGGCTTCAAGTGGACCACTACAGCGAGAGCACAAATAAGAAAGGCAGCATAATTTATGAGTGTTCCGGGCAAAAGAGGGCTATATAGATTTTCTTCAGGCATTGAATTAATGTGCCATATAAAATGGTTTCACATTTAAGCTTGGCAGGACTTTATACCTTTCTAGATTTGATGAAGTCCTTTGACAGTTCCTGGAGCTTTCTGGAAGTGGACAGACAGCAGCCCCCACGGGGCGGGATGCTCGGCCTGCCCCGCCGCGTCCCTCAGCGCCCCGAGCCACTGCTCCTCCTCACCGCTGGGCCCTGGGCAGGCAGAGGGTGGCTTTGGTGCTACAAGTGTGGCGTTTAGGAATATTAGCAGAAATAAACATTTGTTATTTGTGTGTTTTTTTAACATTCCTGCCAGTTTGTCCCACAGAACAGGCACTGAAGGCAGGCCGCGGTGTCCAGGCAGGCAGAGCGCAGGTAGGCCCGGCCTGGCAGCAGGTGCACTGCAGCACCTTAAGGTGCCACTGCCCCGGGCAGCAGCGGTGTCGTGACGGGGCCGAGGGGCTAACATGCACAGCAGGGAGGGCTGTAGGTGCTGCTGCCTTCAGAGAGCCTGTGCCCTGCAAGTCCTGGTGCTTCTGGCACCCTGGGTGATGGCAGTGGTGCCCCTGACTCTTAGCGCCAGAAGCACGGCAGGGCCGCTGCCGGCTCCCCTCAAGTGACTTGCTCCTCATGGCTTCAGCAGATGTTGCTGCTCCTTCATCTTTTTTCCTGTTTTCTTTTTTTTTTTTTTTGGTCAGTCAGAACTCTGTGAGTCGTTTCCTCTAGGGACGGGGGCAGGTTTTAGTATTTACGTTTCCAGTATTAGCATTTATTTGTATTTGTGTTTGTTTTTCACGGGCTTTTGAATGCCTCAGGGAGCCATTTATGGGGCCAAAATAATGCAAGTGCTGGTCTTCTCACAGTATTTCATTTCCTTGATGGTGGAAATGCTAGGAGAAGAGCAGGTCTCATGTTATTTTGACCCCATAAATAGCTCCCAGAGGCCCCTTTCTTCCTTCTCCCACCCACTCCCCCCCAAATCAAATATTTAGGTTTCTGCAAAGCCTGACTTCTCAACTCTGGTTATCTTGCTTCAGCAGAAGCAAATTGCAGTTATTACAAAATAGCCAGGGAGTCTATAAGGCAGAATGGGTTTTATATGATGCACAATTTGTTGGCTACTGTACAAGTTCATTAAAGTGCATCAGAAGCGGTTGTTTTACTGGTACATTTAAGGAAGTTAATGCATCTCGACAGTGTGTGCATGGGGGAACGCAGACACAATAACCCTCAGACATGCTGGGGCCAAGTCTGTCCCCAGCAGAGCTCCGCCAAAGTGAGCGGCATCTCCCGCCGGGAGCTTTTCCCCGCTGTGCCCGAGCGGTGCGGAGCCCAGAGCCACGCGGCCGCCGCTGCTCAGTGCCCACGTCCTGCAGCAGCTGGGTCCCAGTTCCCATTTTCCTTGCTTCTCAGCCAGCCTTTCCACAACATGTAGGACTGACGGCTTATGTGGCATGTCTTGGTTGGCTCTGGGAGATATTTTGTCTCCTTCCAGCCATGCATGTCCGGTCTGCAGGGTTCAGCTGCTCCTTCAGGTCTGCTCACAGGTGAGGAGGACCAGCAGGACCAGCATCGACATCCCAGTGCACCTCACTCTGCCCTGCCCTGCTCTGCCAGCAGGTCTGAGGGCAGGATCATGCTTTGCACTGGGCTTTTTTTTTTTTTTTTTTTTTAAGGGTATTTTTTATTAATGAAACAGCTGGAAAAAAATAGGCTAATTTGGGGGAATGCAGGAAGGTGCACAGGGGGTCATGTTTGCAGGGCAGGACGTCCCTGGTGACCATGTCATGTCTAATTGCACGTCTCACGTGGCCCAGGTGCCGCAGCGTGACCCGGCCATGCGCGAGAGCCCAATTTCCCCCGCACAGCAGTGTCAGGAGTTTTACAGCGGCTCCTTAGGTATCGAAATACACGGCTCTTCTGCCTGGCCACCTAATTGGTTCCAGAGTGAGCCCGGACGCAGCACGGAGCGGTTTGGGAGTCCTCAGACACGTTTGCCCAGGGCAGTGTGCTGGCTGTCATGGTGTTGGGATGGCAGTTTGGGCACGGGAACTCCCCCATTTTTTACCTGGCCCCTTCCAAACAAAGCAGGCTCTGGAAAACTTCTCCTCCAGCTCCTTCTGAGCCTCTACATCTGCTTTAACCTCTCTTTTGCCTTTTCCCATTCCTAATTAAAAGGTTTTAATGCCTGATAGTAGCAAGCAGAGCCCACAGCCTCCCCAGCAAGGCCCTGTACCCATCGCTGTGCCTCCCACACTTTTTGTCTGTGCTTTTTCCCTGCCTGGCATCAGCCTCTGCAGTGCCACCCCCTGGCAGTCCCCCGCAGAGGTGACGAGTGCTGCTGGCTACAGAAATGTCACAGCCCCTCAAAATCAGCACTGCCAGGCTGAATCCCCCCAAACACATCCCATGGCCGGGCAGGAAGGCTTTGGGACGGGACGGAGCGCAGGAACGTGCCCTCGCACTTTTCCCCCCTTCCACCTTTCGTTACGGTTACTGGAAACACAACGTGCCTGAAAATCGATTATAGCTTAAAAAGGGCCAGGGTGGGGGAGCAGAGGAACCTCAGGAGGAGCTCAGCAGCCCTGATGGTGTCTGATCGGGGCCGGAGCGTGCTCCGGCGCGCTGCTGATGGCTGCCCAGCGAGCACAGGCTCTGACGTGAGACATTTAACCAAAGCCAGCTGTGTGCAGGGGAGATAAAAGCACCAAATCAGACAGGATAAGCGCAGTATTAGTGTGGGATACGCCACTCATTTCTGATTTAAATTACTGTTTTTACTTCCTGAACTCATGGGAGAGTGAGGATGTGAGGAAAATGAAGAGGTTTATGCACGTACATTCCTTAACCGAATACTGGCAAGAAATGATGATTAATCCAGCTGAGGTCATTATCAGTGCTGCTTATAGGGTGACCGATTTCCTGCAGATTTGTTTTTATGAATCCTGGGCAGATTATCTCCTCGGCAAGTTACCTCTGCGATCAGGGATTACATCTCCCAGCCCTCGTTCATCGAGGTGTGAGCTCGTGTGGCCGGTACCCTCCTGTGCCCGGGTGGCACGCGGGAGTTGTGTGCACTGCGAGGACACTGGAAAGGGATGCGTAATGTTTTGGTGAAGAACTGGCTTTCTGCTTTTGCCATGCATGGATACATCCTTGTCTTGGGGTCCCATTGCAGCAAATGTCTGCGGAGGAATTTGTCCAAACTGCTCGCCCCATGTCCCTTCCCTGAGTGCAGGCTGCGCAGGGCTGGGAAGTTGCACTTAGGGCCGCACGTCGCAAGTCGAGGGAATATTTCTTGTAGGCTGTCACCGCATGTCCAGGAGAGGATTCCTGTCGTGTCCCCGTGGTTCTGCCTAATCTCACCGCTGCATGCCGCCGCTGAGTGCTGGGCAGGGTGACGCTGCCCAGCGGCGCTGCTGCACGCTGCCACTGACTCAACTGTTGGGTTCAAGTGGCTCACAGAGAGGCCACGGGTCCAGACGATGCTCTACACACACAAAAATCCTAGTGCCTCGAGATTAGGGAGCAAGAAAGGCTTTGGGAGGTCAGCGAGGGGAGGAGATGGTTTGATGTGTGTGACCAGGAAAGGGAGAGCCACAATGAGGCATTCTCCTTTACTCTGGGCCACAGCCCAGGCACATAGTAAAGGGGATATTTTGGCTCAAAAAAAGCAGAGATATTTATGTCTGCTTATGCAGCATAAGGGGTTGTAGAAAGTCCCTGCTGCGATCTGCAGTAGTTACTCACTGCTGGTACACACCGCCAGTAACTGGTGCTGCTGCTGACCCTTCCTCCATCCCAGCAGCACTGCTGTGGAGGAAGGAAGTTTCCTCATCTGCCTCCATACCCTTTGCACCCTGCTCAGTTCAGCCGTGAGCATCCCCAGTCCTGAACCCTGGCAAGTCCCCAGTCATTGGCCTCACCCCCAGCGAAGGGCTTGCTGTGCTGGGCAGTGCTGAACGCCCGCTGCTGCTGGGCTGAAATACAAACCCAGCAGAGATGTGGGACCAGGAGCTGGGATGCCTCTGGAGCAATTCGTCAAATCGCCCCAGAAAAGATGGATGACAAGCAAATGCAGCGCTAGAGCAGGGATACAATAAACAGATTTGTCAATAAAGCGGCCGTCTAATGGCACTCTGGGTTCTTTTATCTGAAACACTAACCAGGGCCTCTTCTCTTTTCCCATTTCAGAGCTTCAGCGAGAGGGAAGCATAGAGACGCTCAGTAACAGCTCCGGTTCCACCAGCGGAAGTATTCCACGCAATTTTGATGGTTACAGATCACCCCTCCCGACTAACGAAAACCAGCCTCTCAGCCTTTTCCCCACAGGATTCCCGTAAATTAGTCAAACATACAAGGGGAGATCAAGACGGGGTAACAAGCTGTCTCTCTGCCTAAACAATCTTGATGTGTCTGTCACCCGCCAGTTAGCTGCCGTGCTGGATGGTTCTCGTTACCCTGATAAATATTGACGACTCTTCCGCGTAAACCTTCCTGGAACGTACTCACAAAATCTTGACTTTGTTTTCCTGTGCAATATGAAGAGACTCTGTCTTCAATCCCGATAGCTCTGCGGCTTCTTTTTTTTTCGCTGTGTTCAGGAAGAGATTGGTTGAGAAGAAATCTTTCTAAGCCACTTTCGGTCAAGCATATGGTTTCACAACCATTCTCTGCTTTTTTGTGCTCAGAGACAAAGGGAATCTCGGTAACGTGTGGTGCAAGCGCCAGCCAGGAGCTCCAGCCGCCTGCAAAAGTGCCGAGCATTAACGAATGAACTGGAGAGAGTGGAGATTCAAGGACTTTCTGTGGACAGGGTTGATCATGTTATTCCTTCCTTGTTGCGTCTCCTTGCTGCCCTCCTTCCCCTCTAGATTCATCAATGCCAGGAGTATTACAAATGGAAATGTTACTTTTTGTTCTTCGGAAGAATTCTCTCTATTGCTCCAGTTTTACTCTAGTCATGTATTTTAGAAACGTACTTAATTGACTAACTGCAGTCACCGATTTCTCATACTTGGTTATAAAAGTTGTTCGCTGGAACTCAGATATCTGTCCAGAAATGCATGTGTCATTGAATAAATCTAAGTTAAACAAGAAACTACTTAAATGTCAGTGTTCATGGAGTATTACTGGGCTACCCCTGTGTTTCGTAGATCTTCCTGGACCAGACACTATGTGCATATTTACTAACCGAGAGATTTAATTAAAGCCATCGGTGGATGTTACTCAGCCAGTCTAGCTTGGTTTTGCATCCCTGGGTGTAAGAACTTTTCAAATGTAAACAGTTTTGTACAGTGAAAGATGTAAATGGTGTTCCTTGCACCTCTGGAAATCAGCACCCACGTGTGTATGTAGGTGTCCGACCTGTGCCTGTTGCACTGCCCCTTCGTCCTGCTTCCCATAAGCCGAGGACGAGGCGCTGGAGACGTGCACCTACATTTAGGGTACTGCAGGATCACGTGTGAGAGGCTTTTGAGAACCCTACAGCATCCTGAACCCGTAACACCGCGCTGAGCGCACACCGCCGGAGCCGTGCAGCTCTCGCTGAGGCAGTGACGGGCTCGCACATAGTAACCACATGAATTTCTACATCTCAGCCAACTTGTGTTGGGAAGCAGAAAGTGAGGTGGGACTGTCAGCTTATGAAATTTCCTTCCCACTGCTTGTTTTTAATAGAAGCCGTTTGAGTCATGGAAATGAGAGGAAACTATCTAAACCCACAAATCTTTTTGCACTCTTGAAGCTTACACCAGCCACACCAACTGGTGCAGGACTGACCACCCTCTTCCTACTCCGTCCCCAAACACCAAATATCAAATTCAGTCTTGGGCTAGATTTCTTTTTATTTTTTTAAGTGTAATGCCATGCCTCAGATCTCAGAGGCTTTTTTTTTCTCTCTCTCTCTTCAGGCTTGCAAACCACTAATAAAAACTGAGAGTCTGCAGCAATAATTTCAGTTTCTTGCTTGGTTTTCAGTCAGGCCTTTCTCAAGCAAAAAAACTTCCTTGGGATGAAATCAGAGGAGAGTTTGCCCATAAGAACTTGCAGCTCCAGCCCACTGGCTATATCTGTGCTCGCAGGCTCCGCTGTAATGCTATGTTTCTTTTATGTCTGTAAAATAATGGATTGAAGTAAGTGCGTTAGGGTAGGGCTGGCATTGTGAACAAATGGAACCACAGGGTCAAGTCAGTCCACACCAGTTAGGGTTTTTAACACAGTTCAAGCCAAGGTCAGCTCCAAAAGTTCAAACAAAATCCAGATTAACACATACAGAAGGGATTGTGTTGTCACCGTGATTCTTGTTTCCTTTCAGCCTTTCCAAAGAGCAGCCGTAAGGGACGGAGATCTTCTGAAGGCAGGCGACTGCTGTTCTTCCTCTCGCTGCTGCCTCGAACAGCTTGGTCGCGGGTTCTTTGTGAACACACAAAGTAGGATAGCACATAATGCGGAGTGGTGTCATTGGAAATGTATTTGTTGTTGGCAGGCATTAAATCACTTTTTATAAGTGCTGCAATACGGCCATGTGGAAATTCCCAGTCTGCAAGAAGCTCCTTTGAATCAGGATGTTTTGTTTAAAGGGGAGGGGGGGGGGGGGAACCCTACAAACTGGGGCTGTACCAAAATATTTTCAGTCTGGTTCATTGAAAAGAATGTCCTAAATTCCCCGCTGTCGATAGCCCTGTAGCCAAATTGTTAAGAAATCCTTGAGCATAAGGGAAAAAAGAAAAAAAAAAAAAGGCAGAGCACTGCAATGAGGTGGCTAATTTAACTTTAATTTGATACTTTCACAGATGACCCAGCAGAATAACCGAGTTCCAGCTCTTCGGTGAGACAGTGAAAGCCAAGTGTGTTGCAACAATAACTCTGTAGGCTCCGATTCAACGTTCCCAAGGTGTTCGCAGTGCTGGACACACACGTGTGGGTCTGACAGTGCCCCAGCTCATGTGCCAGGCTCAGGCAGCCACTCAAAGCCCCCTTGAGTTGGCACCGAGAGCTTCCCGGTACCGACACCTGCCCTGCACACCCCCGGGCACCAGGGCCATGTCTGGGGTCTGGGAGCCAGGGCCTTGCTGCACCCTTGGGGTTTGGCTTCTGGGAGTGGGATTGGGGATCCCAGGCAGCACCCAGGAGCAGCCAGGGGAGATGAAGCTGTGGCCTGAGGGAGGTTTGCCCCCGACTCTGATTTAACCAGGTTTTCAACCCCCCTGGACCCACTCCAAAGCCCAGTTGGAGCAGAACGCCGCAAGAGGCTCGTGGTCCTCGCAGGATTTCGGCCGAGTGTCTCACGTTGTGGGGGAAATAATCCAGGTGAGCTTCTGAAACGCCGAACTTTCAAAGGGCGCAGCTGGCAGGCCGTCACAGGCAGCGCTGCAAGAATGCTGTGCCATGATATAAAACACTGTCTCGAAAAGAGCCCAAAAGACATGCGGGACTCGCAGGGTTTTAAACTGTTTCCAGTAGTAGTAAGCAGCGGCCTCCTGCTGAGTTCAAAAGGCAAAACGTCTCATTTAAAGCGGGGCGGACTGTATATCACTCCGTGCATAAAGTGGAGCTCTTCTATTAAAAGTTGAGTTCAGATTTCATGAATTAACATGAAATATTGCTTTCTGATTCTACCCTGGTTTCTGTAATAAACACACGCATGTAGCGTGCTTCAGTTCAGGGGGACGTTCGGCCGCTTGGAAAGAAGTGGGAAGTCGGAGGCTCTCCAAACGCCGCCGCTTGGAGCTGGGGCTCGGTGGAGGACCAGAGGGGTCGGGAGCTTTCAGGTGCTTCTGCCCCATGTGTGGGAGAAGGGACCCACACCACATCCCCTCTGTCCCCACACCACGTCCCCTCCTCAGACCCTGCCCAAATCTTGCTGGCGACGAGGCCACGCAAAGGCCAGCGCGGGGAGGCAGCCAGGGCAGGGCAGGGAGCCCACAGGAGGATTTTGCTGCTTGGAGCAGCTGTGAAACCTCCCACCCTCCTCAAGTACAGGGATAAACGTGTGGTGCTTCCATGGGGCTTCGTTAGGGTATTTTTGTTGTTGTGGGTTTTTTTTTTTGAGGATCCAAGCAGTGTCCGCACTGCGTCTCTGCATTTCTTTTCTCGCTTCTTTGCTTTGGCTTGTTACTGTGCAGGGTAGGAAAGTTTGCGCCATTTCCTGTTGTCTTTCCCTTATGCTCCTGAGATATTGTAAAAATGTTCGGTATCCTCCAGTAGGTTGTAATCACTTCACCCTAATGTTTCACAGCTGCTAAGTGTAACTTTAAACCCGGCCATTTGAATGCTTACAATTAGCGAGTCAATGGAGCTAAGATCGCGTCTTTGTGATTGGAAAAAAAGAAAAGAAAATGAAGCTTTTTTTAAATTTGAGTTTAAATTGGACAAAATGGGAACAAAAGTTGTGGAGATGAGGCTTTTTTAACGCAGTAAGTGATTAGTGGCTTATGTGCTAGGAAAAAAATAATTGAATCCACTGCTTGGCCTGCCTCACAGATGAAAAAGGCGCCGGGACGAGCATGTGTCTGCGGCAGCACAGCCTCTGTCCCTGCACCAGCCCCTCTCAGAGCTCGCTGCTCCTCATCCGCACAGCCAGCAACAGTGAGGACAGACCCGGCAGGACACAGGGGGCTTCACAGCAGCCGTCGCCTGTCCTTGCATGGAGGCTGTGCCTCTGGACGCGGTCTGGCACAGCCCTTGGGCTGCCCGACCCCGGCTGGGCTTCCCCTGGCTTTTGCCCTCCTGCTTGCTGGCTGGCAGCAGCGTGCCCGCGGCCGGAGGAATTAGGAAGCCGAGGTGTTGCATTCCTGCGGCGCTGCCAGCGCGGGGGCCAGGGGGACGCCCGCACGGCTCTGCCAGAAAACGCTGCCGACTGCACGAAGCGGGCACGGGGCTGCTGAGTCGGGCTGCGGGGCGAAGGGCAGAGCTGCAGGTGGAGGTGGGGGTGGCTCGGCCCCCGTCTGGCCCCCACGCTGCCCACCCACCCCATGGGGCTGCCCCGTGCCCAGGGGGTGCAGAGCAACGAGCGCTGCGTGCGTGCGTGTGTGCATGCGAGCACGGGGCCGCGGGGCCCTTGCTGGTGGCCAGGTTTTATGCAGAGCTGTTTGTAAACATGTCCTAAGCCTTTTATAAAACAGCACAGGGTCAATTTAATCTCATGCTGTTCCTTAATGTTAATTGAACCCAAGTGTAAACCGAGGCTCGTACCGAGGCGTCCTCATCTCCTGGCCCGGCGGGGTAAAACCTCCTTTGGCCGATAGCGCTGCTTGTGTTCCTGCTCAGTGCTCTCTCCTCGCGCACGTTTCCAGAGCAGGTTTCAATTACCAGAAATGCCTTTACCCTGCTGAAAGCAAAGGGCGCGCTGTAGCGGGGAGGCGAGTCACGAGCCGCAGGGCCACAGCGTGGCGGTGGCAGGGCCGGTGCCCGCCCGTCCCGCACGGTGTTGGGGCACCGGGAGACACAGGCCTCCAACCGTGGTCCTGGGTCTGGTTCCAGTTTTCACAGATTCTGGGGAGTTTGGGTCTGGGATATTGGTTGTTTCTGTCACTGGGGGAAGACAAGGCCTGGGTCAGGGGCAGGATCCTTTAGGAGCCGGGTGCTCGTCCCACCAGTCACCACCCTGTCCCCTGCTGGACTCGGATGTCATCTGAACCTGTGCGTGTTGCTGAGCTCCTAGCTGAATTTTTGCCTTCACTGCCAGAATTTCTGCTGCAGGAAATTACAACAAAACACAGGCAGCCCCATGCAGGTTGAAGGTAGGTCACAGACGTGGGTGTCATCAGCCAGCAGTCCCTGTCCCCTCGTCCTCCTCCCAACACCTCCCCGGTCTGGGCACAGCACAGTGTGGCCACAGCTGCCCACAGCCCTCCCTCCGTGCCCAGCCCTGCCACCTGACCATAAATACTAATTAATAGCAAAGCCCTGGTCTAGATCAAGGGGAAGGCTCTGAATTTTCTTGGGAACTTCGCTGTCTGAAAGGTATCTTAAATATTCCCTAGCACTCAGCCTATCAGTAGGTCAATTATACGGTGAGCAGTCATACGAAGTTAATTTCTAATTTAATACAATGTTAAAAGGTTGTCAGGTTAAAATCTAATCTATAAACAAGACATGAAACGTCTT